GGCTCTGCAACTCCTATAGATAGAGATATTTGTTCCACTTTATATCGAAAACAAAATTAGTTTATAGAAAACATGAAAAATATGAAAATCAAAATACAGAGTAGAACTTGTGGAAAATTCGAACGTCTTTAATTCAAATATTCATCTAGGTCCCTAGAATTTCCTATGAATAGAAATTTCGTTTTAAATTCTATTTTTTGGATAATTTGAAATTTTTTTTTTTTTTTTGGTCCCTAAGCTTTGAATTATCCAAGTTGGACTGTATAACTACTACAATATTCAAAAGAAAAACAGGGTAACGTGGTAAGATTCTTTAATGGAACATGACGAGGTTTCAGGCAGCAACTGCCCTTCTTCAGGTCCTATACAAGTGTAGACAGAGAAGTGCCATATTTATAAGCAAAAATATTTACATATATACGCGCAAGGAAATAAGGAATTTTACATACTGAAGATTGGAAAGGGAATTTGCATAGCTACAAATAAAACAAACTCTGTGCGAGAAATAGAGGCAAAAAATGGAGATAAAAATTAAACATAAAGGCATAACATGGAGATAAAAATTGAAACCAAAAATTAAAATAAAACCCAGAAACATATCAGCGAGTGAGTCCGTAAAGTATTGTATATTGCGGTGGGAGATCAATCTTCCGGTTAAAACTGGGAGTACAGTTCGATACCAGTGCTTCCAGAACCAAGCGTTGGTACTTGTTTCCAATATCTCTGTATACAGAAATCGTATCATCTAAATTGAAGGAATGGTCAAAATCTGCGATGTGTTGAAAAATGAGAGATTTTCTATCTTTGGAACGTATATTACGATTATGTCCGCGGATTCTAGTAGCGATGGTTCGACCAGTTTCACCAATGTAGCATTGTTCACAATCGTTGCATGATATTTTATAGATGACGTTATTGAGGGATAGAGGGTTAAGTTTGATGGAACTTTTTGTTATAGGGTGCCGTAAGGATGCTTCTAGGGAAGGCGAATTCTTGAAAAACGTGCGAATACCGAATTTTCGTAAAAATAACGCAATATCGGAGTTCGTGGTCGAAAAAGGAAGGACACAGACGTTTTTATACAGAGGAGGTGCAGCTTTTTTGTGGTTCGGGACGTAAAAATGGCGATCAATAAAATTATGAGGGTAACCGGTGGATAAAAGATGGGTGTAAACGGTACGTTTCTCGATCATTCTAAATAAGGCAAGGGAGCAATGAGTGTATACCCGTTTGGACAGAGTTTTTACCGTGATGATTTTGTGAGAAACCGGGGCATGCGATAAAAAGTGTAAATAGGAGGGAGTGAAGTTGACGATATTTTTTGCCTCCATCGTGATACCGACCATCTCCCTATACTCACAGTTTTAAACTCATACCATCATGATCTTCGTTTTACTCACAACCCATCCTGTTTTGATTGCATCCCGTTTTTAGATGTTTTAGTCATTAACACTAATGGCACTTTTCAGACCACCGTATTTCGCAAGCCTAACTTCACTCCCTCCTATTTACACTTTTTATCGCATGCCCCGGTTTCTCACAAAATCACCACGGTAAAAACTCTCTCCAAACGGGTATACACTCATTGCTCCCTTGCCTTATTTAGAATGATCGAGAAACGTACCGTTTACACCCATCTTTTATCCGCCGGTTACCCTCATAATTTTATTGATCGCCATTTTTACGTCCCGAACCACAAAAAAGCTGCACCTCCTCTGTATAAAAACGTCTGTGTCCTTCCTTTTTCGACCACGAACTCCGATATTGCGTTATTTTTACGAAAATTCGGTATTCGCACGTTTTTCAAGAATTCGCCTTCCCTAGAAGCATCCTTACGGCACCCTATAACAAAAAGTTCCATCAAACTTAACCCTCTATCCCTCAATAACGTCATCTATAAAATATCATGCAACGATTGTGAACAATGCTACATTGGTGAAACTGGTCGAACCATCGCTACTAGAATCCGCGGACATAATCGTAATATACGTTCCAAAGATAGAAAATCTCTCATTTTTCAACACATCGCAGATTTTGACCATTCCTTCAATTTAGATGATACAATTTCTGTATACAGAGATATTGGAAACAAGTACCAACGCTTGGTTCTGGAAGCACTGGTATCGAACTGTACTCCCAGTTTTAACCGGAAGATTGATCTCCCACCGCAATATACAATACTTTACGGCCTCACTCGCTGATATGTTTCTGGGTTTTATTTTAATTTTTGGTTTCAATTTTTATCTCCATGTTATGCCTTTATGTTTAATTTTTATCTCCATTTTTTGCCTCTATTTCTCGCACAGAGTTCGTTTTATTTGTAGCTATGCAAATTCCCTTTCCAATCTTCAGTATGTAAAATTCCTTATTTCCTTGCGCGTATATATGTAAATATTTTTGCTTATAAATATGGCACTTCTCTGTCTACACTTGTATAAGACCTGAAGAAGGGCAGTTGCTGCCTGAAACCTCGTCATGTTCCATTAAAGAATCTTACCACGTTACCCTGTTTTTCTTTTGAATCTTACAACGTGGCTATACTACAATATTGTTGTGTGTCAACAAGTAGCCGACCAAATAGTACACATGACTGGAAATTCTCTTAAATTAGAAACTCTTTTTTAAAAATGTATTTATCCCTGAAACAGTGCCACAGAGATGACAGGTAGAATTGTAATTGACTATTGACCACCATTTTTGTAGCAACATGTTAGATATAAAGAGACAGTTATCTTTTTACCCCTCAATCAGAATACACCTTTGAATAAATTGATATAACATATCATGCTACAGTAGCAACACCCCCTACAACTGGCCTGATGGAACCCAACAATCCCATTAGATCGGCCCCTAGTGACCCACCAGGATAAATCACTCCTCATAATAAACCCTCTGAGACCTACATCCCTGCCTCATCAATATATATCGTCGTGTTTTAATGAATATATATATATTAATACATTATAATACCTTGATAAAGGTTGGCGTTCAGCCAACTGAAATATTGGTAAAATAAATGATATTTTGATCCAATATATGCCTTTTTAATTAAAGATTTATTTATGGATTGCTCTATTTTAAAATATATATATGTGATGATTTAAGACCATGGAATTGTTGTAAATAATCCAGATATCTACTACCACATGTTCCACCACATAATTGTATATAACTTATTATTTATATAAAGCATCACATAATATCATTCTGTACCGCGTAAGACTCTAATAAAGTATAGCAACTGTACAGATAGAAGGAATGGAGAATAACAGGAGAAAATTAAGGTTAAAACTAATCAGGCTTAGGTGAGAATAGGAGAGTAGGCCTAGCAAGCCCAGTCCAATTTTTACAAGTTTGTGGCCCTCCTGGATAATGCAACTTCCCCCCCCCCCCTCCCCCCCGTTTACATCAGAAAAGGACAGTGACCTGCCTGGACCCTGAAGCTATAAAAAGGAGGCCCCAAGCCTCAGTCAGTCAGTCCTTAGCCAACCTTTGTTTCAGCCCCAGTCCGCCGGACGCTTCTATAGAGGTACCTAAACCCTTTCCAGCCAGAAATCTCCTCGTCCCATTCCTTCTTGACGTTCAGACGCTTCTTAGTGGAAACTGTTTGTTTATTTCACCTTTGGCCCAGCTGTGTCACCTTCCACCACGACTGCACGGTAGAGTTGACATTGAGGTTCGTCTAGCATCAGGTAACACTGGTCCCAGAGGTCCCAAGATATCACATATGTATATATATCTGTGGCGAGCACACTTTGCTTCAGCAAGCGTGAACTGGGACAAATCTTCACTACACATACGGGCAGTAGTGTGGCGGCCTTGGCAACTGCGAGCCTGACTACGCATGCACGGGCGGCATCCGGGACTCTACCACGCGCGTCGTCAACAACAAGGCTTGCTTCCAACGGCCGTTACTTCTTTTCTCTTTATATATTTCTGGCTTTAAATAAATAAATTTATTTTCTAAAAATTAATTATAATTTTATCAGCAGCCACAAGCCACACACGCAACCATCCCACATATCTAAAAAGACTCACCTCTCCGTCAAAATAGATGTCAAAGCTAGACACCAGATCAATATCCTCCCGGCAAAAATTCCATATATTCTGTATAAATATCGTAGCAAAGTATTTATTATTTTATTAACAGAATATCATTTTGTATGTTTATATTTTGCTACTCTGTAAACTTTCCTCATTGCTTATATTTTGTTTATCATTCATAGTTTGCCTTAAATAAATTGCTGTGTCATCCTGAAGTTTCCTCATTTTCCACGAGACAATATATATATGATGTCTATATATTTATTGGAGAATGTTAAATTTTTTAAAGATATTTTGCACAACTTATTCTATGTGTAAGCCATGGTAGTTATCAACAGCACCACTGAATCCTAGAAATAAGACCTTGTCATAGAATATTTAAGTCCTTCCCAACAGTCTTTAACAACATTCCAGAGAGAGACACCATTCTCTGGTTTTCTAGATTTAGGAGCTGTTTTTCAGCAAGCCTGTTTAAAGAGAAGCAATTCCATAATTAGAATTTTATAAACAGATATTGAAAGTGATCATAAAGCAAAATTTGGATTATAGATTATAAACACAAGGTAATAACACCAAATCTTTTCGGTAACAGCGTTGTTACCATCTTCAGACAAAAGTACTGAATCTCAGTACTTTGGTTACCATTCAGTACTTTTGTCTGAAGATGGTATCAATGCTGTTACCAAAATGTCACACACTATTTATTTATTTGGATTTGGCCTTATTTTCTTGTATCTATAATCCAAATTGTGCCTTATCAAGACATTTTGTCTTATATAAGATATGCTACTGGAAGATTTAAAAATGAAGAGGCTAAAATTAAAGCGGGGAAAGAAAGATAATGGCTTATATATAAATAAATTTGATATTTAAGAATTATTGTTTATTTAAAAAATAAAGTAGAATAGAGAAAAAATGATATTTTTATTTAAAAAAAAAAAAAAAAAAATTGAATCAGCCTACAGCACTTGGTGTTCCTAGGTGGTCACCCTCCCAAGTACTGACCAGGCCCAATATTGCTTAACTTGGGTGATTGGATGAGAATCAGCCATACCACATTGACAACACCGGTCAATCTTTGAAGTTAAGCAACAATGCCAGTGAGAATTTGGGAGAGTGACTGCTTGGGAACACACTGAGGGTGCTGTAGTCTAATAACTAATCTTTAAACCCAAGGTAATAATCCAAATATAATCCAAATTGTGCCTTATCAACTAATTTTAAAAATGATAAACCACAATTTGGATTATAGATTATAGCTACAAGAAAATAAGACCTAAACCAAATAAATTAATAGTGTGCAACATTTCGGTAACAGCGTTGTTACCATCATCAGACAAAAGAATAAATTCTTTTATCTATATACATCTATTTATCTATAACCTCCCTGTAAAGGACAACACCTAGTTGCAGAGCAAAAGTGTCCTTTATGAAAAGGTGTCCTCTTACCAGTGAGTTGTTAAATAGTAAAAATGGTAATTTTGGCTATGAAAAACTGTCTTTTACAGAGAGATGTCCTCTAGCTGGAGTGTTTTTTTTTTTTTGCTTATCCCTAGTACACGTGGTACAGGCCATGATAATCATGGTGGGTAGTTAACGACTGCTTTTTACTGTAAGCGCACCACATGTCTACACATGTGAAAGCAGTTCGACTTTGCACTTACAAATGTGCCAGAGCCCCGTTTGGTTACTTGCACTCGCTGGTGGGGTTGGACTTTTGCAAGAATCGGGGGGCCATTGGAGCATTTTTTTTTTTTTTAAACAGAAAAAAGTGTCCAATGCGGGGATCGAACCCAGGTCGTAGTGGTCGTAAACCAAACGGTTTAACCAGCCTTCCACCGACCCCCCAGCTGGAGTGTTCTCTCATGGAGGTTCTACTGTATTATGGATTAGGTCTTATTTTCTTGTAGCTAATCTTAAAAAAAAAAAATGGAGGAAAAGGAGTTCAATGCTAATTCAACAGTAATTTTTGGCATCCATTGTGTGTGAGGAAACACTTCAAACCATAGAATACTCAAAAGAATGTGGTTGTCTTCCCTTATGATTACTTACCACACATTATTGACTGTATTGACTCATCCATTGATGAGCTCTACTCTTCCCAGGCAGACACCATCAACAAGCTTTACAAGCTTGATACCTTAATATGATTGAGTGGAGATAAGAAAGAAGAAGATGATTACTTACCTAAGTTTATTTACATTCTTTTACCACCTCTGCTAATTTATTCTGGTCGGGTTGTCGCTCATTGAGGAATTGTTCAATTCCTCTCTTCATTTGTTGAATTCTACACACACAGAGCAAATTGGAAAATTAACAGTTAAATACAGTTTTCATATAAAAAAGTTGGATCAATTATAGTATCAATAGTTGGAGATATTGGATCAAAAAAAAAAAACTTTCTGGCATTTTTTTTTTTTTTTTCATTTGAATTATTTTTTTGACGCGTATGATTCTTTTAAAATAAATTAATTATCTACTACCCTTACTGCAATTGTTGTTTTTTATCCCCTTGTGCAAAGATTACATGAATTCCATGTTTTACACTGCAGTAGCTTCAGTATCAATATAAAAGAAAAACTGAAAAAAAAAAAAGCAATATAACAGTTGTTGTTGTCGTGTCCAATGAAGAGCCTCAGAAGTCTCCATACATCTCTATCACAGCAGTCGCAATGTCCTCTATCTTGGGTGTGTAAAGCTGCTGCTCTGGGTCTATGTCAATTTTCTGCAAGGCTGCGGTCATTGCTGGGCATGAGAATATGTAAGTAGGTGTTAGTACCATACCAGGACAGTTGTTGCATGTCCTATAGGTTCTTGTACCATCTGGATGTATTGTCATTCCTTTATAGTGTTTTGTTCTAAGTCTTGTTATAGCATAACAGTGGTATGGTAGATTAAACTGGCAAAACTGGTTGGGAGGGTTCATCACTCATTGCAGTAAGGGCAATATAGAAAATTTATTTATTTTCAAGAGAATCATACGCATCAAAATTAGTTAAATTTTTCATAACAGATGGCACGCTAATGCATCATATTAATATTTTTTCATTGAAGAAGAGTTTTCAATACGGCACAATTTGATAAGGCACAATTTTCATTATATGAAAAGAAAAAATTTAAAGTTATATATACAGTAAAACCTTGTTAAAACAAACTGGGAATATAGCAAACCTTCCCTTATTACAAACCAGAAATAATCCCCAATTTTATTTTATAATACATTGAACTATGGCTATAGTGAACCATAAGTTGAGTATCATTGGTGTTTGCTATAGAGGGGGGTTTTACTATACAGTAAAACCCCTCTATAGTGAACCCCAAAGGGACAGAGCTTTTGGTTCACTATAGCCACGGTTCACTATACCCACGGTTTGGCCATTTTTTTTACTTTTCTAAATTTTTAGACCATATAATTAAAGGACAGCCATACACACAAGAAGAGGCTGCCTCTTAATAATGGTCACTTTGTTTTAATTCCCTTAATTGACCTATTTCCTTACATTAATACTGAATAATTAAAGAAAGCATTAGATGATAGGTTATTCTTATCATTAACATACATGTACCTCTATGTCTAATTTAAAATCAAGACAAATCCTAGGCAAAGTTTTATTAAATGTATATTCAATGATATAAAATGATTTTAAAACTTCTTTATCATGTTATATAATACAATGTTACTTGGAAAAATGGCTCTAATACCTTGTTGCTTCAAAGCATTCCTCAAGCATTGCACCTTTCATACAAAACATTGCTGGCTTTAAAATCACCATACTTCAAGGCATAAAAATAATTTTTGTTTTATCATGGGCCCGTTTATTTGGACTATTTTTGTTTTTTTTTTTAGCCCTAACACGTACGATCGCGATCGCAGCAAAAGTTGAGGTTGATTCCTCTTTGTAACAATTTTTAATAGCCTTCTTTTTTTTATCTCTTATAATATAAAAGTTATATTTTCTTATTTTGACATGTTCTGAAATTTTGTCTGGTGTTGTTTCACTTTGAAAAGTTTGGAAATAGCCTTTTTTTTTCCCTTCAATAATAACGTTTTTGTTTTTAGAATGTCTTTATTTTCTTCATTTTGGAAGCCATTTGCATTTTTTCTATTTCAAATTTAATGGATGCAAGGATATTCTATTTAATAAAAAGTATAATGTATAAAAATTTATACAACATACAGCAAAAATTGAATGTAAATCAAAACAAATAATGCCGCTAAATATATTGTTTTGAAATAGCGATCCGTGAGTTGAAACATGCTCAAAATTTTGTTGTTTTCATTTTTTTTATTACAATTTTAAGTTCGTTATAAGCATAATATTTTAAATAGATTTTATTATTTTGGGACCGAAAATAGGTTTGTTATAAGGGTAGTTTGTTATTTTAAAAATTGCGAAGTTCGTTATAACGATGGTATTTTCAATGGAATGGAATTGGGAATTGCCTTAGGTTCGTTATAAGGGAAGGTTCACTATATCCAGGGTTTGTATTAGCAGGGTTTCACTGTATTTATATTTTATTGCAGCACTGCAATAAACAACATACATATTGTTGTATGTCAACAAGTTACCGACCCGGGTGGTACACTTGACCGAAAAAGTTATTATTTTGTTGTTAATTATTTTAGAAACGGTTATAATTTGTATTTGAACATTGAGCACAGATTTTGCAAAAACGAGTTAGAGATAACGTGCCGGTTATCTTGAGCCTCTTGGTCGGAATACACTGTGACAAAATTGTTTTTAACATGTCCTGCCCCTTCTACAACTGGCCCGACAAAACCCAGAACTTAACATCCTTACTGGACTGGATCATGATCCCAGCATTGTACCAGGCCTTAGTGACCGTGGCCCACTCAGATGATAGAGCACTTCCCCAAATAAACCCACTGAGCCTTACATACCCGCCTCTGTCTCATCAATATATTTAGCAAGGTGTTATTTTGACACTGAAGCTTTTCACAAATTAAAGGAATTCCGCCGTTGCTGGTCCCAAGCCCGGATGAAAAAGGAGGAGGAGGAGCAGTAACAAGCTCCCTAAAAAACCTGGGTTCAGTTGGCCCAGCTGATAGTACCCTGTAAGGGCTCCAAATCCAGGGATACAGGATGAGCAGCGTTTGTACTCCATGTTAGGAGTAGTTGTACATGGCATCTGTTCCTCATGTCAGAGGCGGCCATTTCTTTTGGAGCTAAGTCTGCATGCCACTGAGTAGTGCTCCCAATCTTAATGACAAAGGCATTCTACTTCACCCAGCCATGATGGTTGTCAAACAGACACCATCAAGGGTCACAACTTGATACCCTAATATGATTGAGTGGAGATAAGAAAGAAGAAGACAAACTAGGTGACTTGCTAGCCTCTACAGGGTAGAAGCATCACTTAATAAATATACAAAAAAACATCTGATATAATTAGAGTATATTTTTAACACTCCAAGAATTATCAGGACTCCGGGTTGAATTAAAAGTCTCAGTGTGTTGAATCATAGTTAGTTTATATGTGATTGTCTCTAATGTATTAACTTATAGAATAATAGTTTTAGCTACAAGAACATAAGACCTAATCCAAATAAATTAATATTGTCATAATCAAAATTTTACATAGTCTGTAGCTCTAAATAATACATTGGCAGCTTGGCGAGTGTTATGTACCTAAGCTCCAATAGATGGCGCACACTTTAGACGGGAAGTTTGTAAACATTAGCCGTCATCTTGGAGGCATAGCTGATTGCTAGCTGTTAGGGTCTTTGAAGTTACTTCCTTAAAGACCGGGGGGTCGGTGGAAGGCTGGTAAACCGTTTGGTTTTCGACCACTAGGACCCGGGTTCGAACCCGCATTGGACACTTTTTTCTGTTTAAAGAAAAAAAAATGCTCCATTGGCCCCCGATTCTTGCAAAAGTCCAACCCCACCAGCGAGTGCAAGTAACCAAACGGGGCTCTGGCATTAGTAAGTGCAAAGTCGAACTGCTTTTCACATGTGTAGACATGTGGTGCACTTACAGTAAAAGCAGTCGCTAACTACCCACCATGATTATCATGGCCTGTACCACGTGTACTAGGGATAAGCAAAA